CAGGTAGTCCTTGACTTATGACCACAACTGAGCCCAAAATTCATGTTGCTAAGTGAGACATATGTTAAGTGAGTTTTGCCCCATTTTACAATCTTTCTTGCCATATTTGTTAAGTGAATTGTTGCAGTTGTTCAGTTAATAACACAGTTGTTAAGTGAATCTGGCTTCCCCTTTGACTTTGCTTGTTGGAAGGTCTCAAAAGGGGATCACATGATCCTGGGACACTGCAACCGTGTAAATACAAATCAGTTGCCAAGCATCCCCATTTTGATCACTTTTTTCAGTGCTATTGTAACTCTGAATCAGTGGTGCAATTCAGCCAGTTCTATCTGGTTCAAGCGAACCGGTAGCAGTGGCAGCGAGAGGCTCCTCCCCCCACCTGAACATCATCACATCCCGTTTTTGGTGCTCTGCGCATGCGCGGAAGCCTGAGGTCACATTTTCAAACCATTAGCTAAAGTAAATTGATTTCATCCCTGCTCTGAATGGTCACTAAACAATCTATTGTAAATCAAGGTCAACCTGTATTACAAATATTCGATGAACTCAATTTGAATCCTTCCTCTTATATTTTCTGTTTTCTCCTTTTCTATTTAAACAAATACCCCAAATATCTTCTCTCATCAAATAAAGAAAACCTTTATATCATCATCATCTGGTTCTATTCATCAAAAATCTGTTAAACTTTACCCAAGTTAGGAACTAATGTTTTGCTCTCAGACATTAAGATTAAAAGTCAATCTCACTCCGTCTTCACTTTTTATATTTATGCAGATGCATTCTTTACGGTTACTAAGCCAGAATCAGCCTTCACAGATTTTTCTGAGTATGAGTGATAACTTCAGACCAGTCCAGCCTCTCAACAATCGATGTATCCGAACAAACATCAACTTTAGTTTACAAGGGAAAGATTGCCCGAACAATAGAGCACAGAAACTACAGTATAGAGGTATGTCCCCAACACTATATTCATTTCAAGGTAATGTTTTCTGTTTTGGAATCCCTTTTGTCTTACAATGTCAGTTTAAGAAGGTTTGATCTACTGGTTAAATTGTTTGTTTGTCAGGTCCAATATTTTCTACTTTAATAACCTCTCTTCACAGTCTCGGACAAGGATCTTTCTGGTGAGTAAGTAGAAATGCTAAGATTAAAACTGGGATTTTTGGATGTGGAAAATATATGTTCTGCCACTACAGAAGACAGCTCTTTCAGTCTTCTAAGGAGGCTTCAAAACATTCAGAAAAATAACTCTTTCTGAAGGGGCCAAACAGACCTGGCATGGTGATAGTTGGAGTTCTGGCTACTGAATATGAATGAAAGCTGTACCAGAAGTTGGGGTTGAAAATAAATATCCTTGAAAAAACTAAAGATATCATATTGTATCCTTTCTAAAGGATTCTGCATAACATGCGCTGGGATAAACAGATTCTGTTTCAAAACAGTGGAATCATTTATAGGCAACAAAACCCAGATTTTAAGATTCAAGAACAAATGCCAGCAAGAGGTCACAGATTTAATTAGTCCATTTCCCCAGGTTGGCATAACTTATTTGGCGATCAAGGAGGAGAAAGTAGGTGTAATTTTGTTTGGTTTTGCTTTTTTTAGTAAGAAATCTTTTTCTTAAAAAANAATTAGGGTTCCTGAATTCAGAGCAGTCCCTAGCCTCATTTTCAACATGGAAGAGGATGGGGGCTTGTCAGTAACTTGATTCTTGCAGATAGTGTCAGAATAGAAGCAGCTGGGACCTGTCCAGCTGCATTACAGTTTCCAAAACCAGCTAGCAGAAAGATGCGAAAGCATCCCCACCCAGTCCTACCAATAGGTGCCCAAGACTAAGAAAACACAGACTAGAACGGAAATGTCCTTTTTTGCATACCGACGTCTGCTCCGCAGTGCCTTGGCTACACCTGCTTGCATAACTCCGCTCCCCACCTTTACATTTGCCCCAGAAACCTGCTCTGTGCAGTCAGGTGAGGAAGTAAAAAGGAGAATAACTCTAGTCTGAAGGAAGCTAATCTCCTACCAAGCACTGTAGATACAAAGAATTCGTGCTGGGGAGTGGGAGGGGAGGATAGAAGAAGAGATAAGGAGTTGGATTGGAAAGGCTTTCTTCCCCAGAAGGCAGTAACTTGGGATATGCACTGTGACCAAGAAGGTGGCCTATGACTACCTGGCACCTCTGCCAGTAATTTCCTCCCCTTAAAAAAAAAAAAACCCAGAATCAAGCACCCGCACTGAAACAAAGATTGTGACCCTGGATTGCAGCTCCCTGAAGGCCACGCGTAGGGAAGAGTCCATTCCTTCCCAACAGACGGACCTGTATTGGACTTCCCACCTGCCTGTCCCCAGGAGGCCAGAAAGTGTAAGAAACCTGCCTCGAATCTGGGCCCTGCTGTGCGCAGAAACTGCCCAGACGACTGTTCTGGGGGGGAGAGAGGAAGAGTTCCTGGGCTGCCATGCTAGGCTCTGAATGGAAGCTGAATGGAAGTGTGGAAGAACTTCAGGCAGAGCTGGACCTGGGGAGTGTGGGGCTCAAAAAGAAAGGAGAGCCAGGCTGAAATGCAAGACCTTGGCCTGGGTACCAACACCATCATCCCCAATGAGGAGTCCATTGGATCAGTGGAAAGAAAAGATGTTGGTTGGAAATTAGTGGAAGGTTCTGTGCTGGAATAGGAATTGTATAGGCCTCAGCAGTGAATCCCTGCAGTGTTTCTAGCCATTAGAGATGCTGCCTGTTGGGAGGCCTGCCCATTTAGGTATTGCGGATTCCCAGAGCTTGTTCAAGTTCTTGCCTTCTCTGCTGAACCTGTGAAAGAAGCAAGAGAGACCATCTTTATGCACAGGTTAAAAAAAAAGAACAACAGAACTGCCTCTGGTAATTTCAAGCATTGGGAACAAGCATTAGGCTACGAGCCAAAAGCTCAAGTCAAGCTTTCCCCAAATTGCAATCCAGCAGTTTCTGAATTTATAACAATTCCCCCCTCCCCTTCTGTTCACAGCCCACTCAGTCAAGGATTGGTGCTGCAGGACCAGACATTCAGAAGCCTGCTTTAGTCTGAGGCAAGGGTTAGGAGCAGGAAGGGGTGCTTTTCGACTCTTGGACTCCATCTGCTATTCAGTTTGCAGAAACAGCAAAGGGAAATCTGTCCACAAGTCAACAGGACTGAAGGATCTTGACTGAGCTGCTGGGTTCCATTTAGAAGAGATCCCACTAGATGCATCCATTTTACCTTAGAGTAGAAATATCTGCATACAGCCTCTTGGGCCCAAGGCTGGAAGTAAAATTCAGCTCGGCGCTCTTCTTCTGGGTTCCCAACAACATCCGTCATAGCCTGAAGGTGAGCAAAGTCTCAAATTACTCATCTTGCTCTCCCTGAAATACCTGTCTTGGCTCTCAGTTCTATCCCTCTGGCAGATGGTGTGCTGTTTTGCTCTTTAAAAAATAAAACTGAAGACCAGCAAAGGCTCTCTCTCTCTCTCTCTCTCACACACACACACACAACTCTGTTTTCTCCTTAAAGGCGTCTCACCTTCAGGTCTCGACACTGGGACTGCAGCCAGTCATTGATGAAACCCTGGGGATCTCTGGCAAAGCTCAGCATAAATTCACGTTGGGTCTTTAACTGGTTAATGGTTTCTATGGTCTCATGGATCTGAGATGAAAAAATACCGCACAAATACATTTGAAAAAGAATATGGTTATAATCTGCTGAAGTGGGTTACTGGGTGCAGGCACAGGGATGGGTTTAGTTAGTTAGTTCTGGAAAAGGCACATGGAGTCAGGCTACAATACATCCCTTCATTTATTTAGGCTCTTGTATTTTTTACAAATCAAAGTACGTCTACATATACTCATGAGCCGTGGTGGCGCAGTGGTTAGAATGCAGTACTGCAGGCTAACTCACTGCTCACTGCCAGGAATTCAAATCTCACCAGCTCAAGATTGACTCAGCCTTCCATCCTTCCAAGGTGGGTAAAATGAGGACCTTGATTGTTGGGGGCAATAGGCTGACTCTTTAAACGCTTAGAGAGAGCTGTAAAGCACTGTGAAATGGTATATAAGCCTAAGTGCTATTGCTACTTCAGAGTTACAAATATCTATGGTT